AGGCTTGACATGATCTGGTCTCCTTAAATTTCCCCTTCAATTCAGAGGTGGAGTAATTCCTCACTTCCTCACCTCATCCATTGTGTAGTGGGGCTGCTGACAAATGATAGCTGCATAGGGTGTCTTGCACTTCAATTGTGCATGAAGTGGGATGAAAAGAACTATACAGATGCAAGCAATTATTAATAATTATTCTCATTAAATAATTTTGATAATAGTGACTAAAATTAGAAAATAGAATCCTTGTCCTTTTTTCTTAACAATAAAGTAGCACAATGATATGTAAATGAGCAATAGCAGTAAAACAGCATGTGAAGCACAGCTCGACCACACAAGTCAGTTTTCTGAAAAGAAATGTTTGCAGACCCCTGTGTTTTGCAGTGAATGTACACTTGCGTCTGTCACACACTACAATATCAGCATGCACCAGGGGGAGCTCTTGTACCTGTGTAGTGTCCACAGCTACCTGCTTCCTACCAGCACTCCTTCACGCTGATTTTTTATTCATTCAAACATTCGATAAGGAGCACAACATGACTGTGCGAGGTCAAGGCAGATAACAGCAACAGCAACAGCAACAAAAAGTAATGCTTTCATTTCCATGGAGAAAATATCACATACAATTGTATCATTTGAAAAGTGTGCACAGCCTAAGCTGCTTCATTAAAATAGCTGAATGAAGGAGATACCTGCAGGAAACTGCCTTTCTGATGTGAAGAGATTCTGCTTTAACCTGAAACCTGCAGTGCTTTATCCTAGTGTCACAGAGAATACTAAAACAAACCATGCCTTCTCTGTTCTGTTTGATGTTTTGTTTTCACGGAAGTCAGTTTAGAAGTTAGATTCACCTACTGTGTATATACAGTATACTCATACATGAAGATATACAGCCATGCATTCATGAAATTTAGTATCAGTCCAATTTTATTCTCTTAAGATAGCTCATTCACATTCATTGTTGCACAGTAGCACAAATTTGATTTGTGTATAATGTGTAAATAGCTGTTAGTGCACCCCTTATACATTTAAATGGAATATGTTTTGCATGTCCAAAATGTCCATATATTAAAATACTTTACCAGGCAATCCTCTGTCTCCTAAAAATCTCCAGAAAGCACTTTTCACTATGCAAATATTATAATCTATCATTGTAATATAATTAAAAAATATAATCATGTGCATATGCTATAGCAATTAATAAAATTGCAATTTGTTCCTACTTTTTTATATGTTTTTGTATTATGAGTGAATCAGCTTTGGTTAATAAGTAAGGTGATAGCTTCAATAATGTTTTTTTTCATGTTGTGTTGGCACACTAGTTATGTGCCTGAGGATTCATGAATTGTGTGTTGCTGATAAATTTATATTTTACACTGCAATCAGCCTTGAAATAAAGATTAATGCATTACTAATACCCTGTTAACACTCCTTAATAATGACCATCACATTTGGCGAGAAAGGTTGAGAATGAAGAAAATATTAATCTTGCAATCTTACTGAGTGTTGATCATTATGAGGGCAGTGTGTAGTTGGACAGAAGTGGTTTGCTTAGGAGTTTCTAGCACTTTTTTCTACTAAATACCATTCTGATATTGAACTAATGAAGTGTGATCATGTGAAATTGCAAGGCAGAACTGAACAAGGCAAGGACTGTTTTAGAAATAGGTAAATAAAAAAAAGAAGGCAGATTAAAAATCAGTTACTGCATGCTTTTTGATTCCCCTTTGTGGATACATTGTACTGTATGTGTGAAATGCAAGGAACTCGAATTTGCATCAGGGTTTTAAATGTATTTCATTATAAGGTCATCAAAAAAACTTGCTGTAGAATGCTACATACTGCATACAGTGTTACATTCAAGTTGCATTTCAAAAGTGCTAATATAGATGTTTTAATTTAGCCAGCAATATCTGATGAAATTATGATGTACATGATGAAATTATTGTAACTTTAGCATTGTTTTATGCAAGATGTTTTTACGATTTGTTGTATTTTATATCTGCAAATTAATTATTTTCAGAGGTGTGGTGTTCACTTTAGTTGGATACTGTACCTTTAGTATGTCTAGTCTTATGGACAGAACACAAGGTTTTTGTGCTCAAACAATATGTGCTATGCACTATTATTATTTTCACGGTGACAAACACCGGTAGTTTTAGAGGCTATTAGACCATTACGTTAAAAGGTAGCTAGAAGGTAGCTTCTAGCTTGAAGTGGAAAACATATGATACCCCTTTATTTAGAAGGTCTCCTTATTTAGTAGATACGTAAAATTTATTAATCTATAAGAAATCTTGACAATATATTTTTTTCATTCCTGTTAAACCAAATGTTACAGGGAATTTAACAGGTGTGGAGAGGTTTGCTGAAAGTGAACATCTTGTATTCCTAGTTAACCGTGTAGCTGTACCTCTCCGTCTAGGCCTGTGTCTTTCTCAAGTTGAAGACAATCAATTTTGAAATGTTCTTTTATGCAGATGTGTTTGCATCCCTAAAGGAAGCACAACGATGAACTGCCAAATGTGCCAAGACATAATATAGTCTCTTTCCCTGCCTGTGCTGCGTCATTCCGTTTTGAATCCACCAGACATTCAAGTTGAATCTCTTCGTCTTTTCAAGACGTTAGTCCAATGCTCATATTCATTATCAGCACAGCGCATAACTTATGCAACTGTAGCGCTCTCGGGTTCATGTGGGTATGCTCCCTCGCCGCTGCCGCCTCAGGTCAGCCCCCCCACCGCTGGGGACTCGAACCCGGGCCTCCAGTGTCACTCAACAGGGACCCAGCCAGTTGAGCTAAAGGGAGATCTCCCCTATGCCCGGCGGCTGCGGTCCCTGCTATTCACAGGGAAGGGCGCCGACCTCACCGCGCTGGTAAGCCGGCTCGCACAACCTGCAATGTTGGCCGTGTGCGTTACACAACCATAGCCTTCCTATGGCTCTTGTTCAGCCAAGCATGTGGCGGCATTTTTCCAGTCACTAAAGCCTACAGTCAGTCCGGACTGATTATCACAGCCCCCAAATAATTTACATGCAAAAGAAAACACTGTGCCTTTCGAAGGGGAATATAGCAGCCAAGCCATTCTCCAGCCACACATTCGCCATTTCGGAGTTTTCCTCTTCAACTCAATTCAATTCAATTCAAGTACCTCTTTTGGTGTTTATGCTGTCTTTCCGATGCTGCAACATCCGCGTATGCTGGGTTCGAGCTGTAGGAAGCGGGAGATGGCATTGCAGCCTCTGTTAGCTCCACGGCAGCAGGTGCAACAGCCATTGCGGCGGCTCATTGGGTTTGTGGAGATGGTGGCGTTTCAGATGGCTCTGCCTCTGACTCATGTCCCTGTGATTCCGTTGCGGGAGCTGGCTCGTCCTCATGAGCTGCGTGGATGTAGACTGTGCCCAGGCTAGAGCTAGCTGCAGCTAACTATTCAACCTTGGTTGTGGCAGCCAGGGCTGCAACGCTGAGCTGTAAACTCAGGATCGGGGTCCCGACTCAGCAAACTTGAAATAACCAGTCAATCTGGGGATCTTTTTAAGTAGATCCTGCTCAAACTGCTCTTTTAACTGCCGTGCTTTTCGTTTTGCGCCCCACTCTCATATTTTCTGTCGCACATTTTGAGGCTGGCTACCGTAAACTTGCAGCAGAGATCACCCGAAGAATTTGACCTGCGAACCCATTGCATCTAACCAATCATTGGTTCACAAATTATTCAACGTTCTTATGGACCAATGGGGGCCCACAGGTCTGTTTTAAAAAATACTCCGGCCAATGAGGGGCCCCTGATCAGGCCCTCAGGTCCATTTAAAAAATACTCTGGCCAATCAGGGGCCCCTGATCAATCTGGGGTACCTAGGTACAGCCTTTGCTAGCCTATTCGTTAATCCGCCCCTGCGGGCCGATCTTTTTCATGCAGTGTTTTGTTTTTGCCTTTCGTGTTCTGCTCTAACAGACTGGACCCCATTACAGAGGGGTAAGCCCAGCCTGGAGGTCACAAGGCACAGTGGAACACTTTCTTTTTGCTTTTTGTATATTTTTTCACCTCTTTTTTTTGCGTTATTTTTGGTCGCTGCTAACCTCACACCGGTGCTTCCGTGCCCTCACCCAGGGCGTCGAGTTTTTACTGGTGCTCGCCACGGCACCTCCCACTCCGCACTGTCACAGCACGCATTGGGTACCGCTTTGACCTGTGATTTTGTGTATTATTACAGATAGATTTTCCTTTTCATTCACGAATATGTAAATTTAGTCCGTTCAAAAATGTGCAGCATTCTTGGATGTTGTTTTGTTTTTCTGCCCAACAATTCAACACATCTCTGTAATAATATGCACAAGTGAGATGGAAGTGCTTAAGAAAGTACAGTACAAAGATCCGTGAACCGTGTGTTACTGTGCAGCTGCGCTACTGTACAACAATCTACTAATACAATGTAAAAAAAATCTAATAACTGCATAGACGATTGCTAAGGGATAATTTATTAAATCTTATTCTAATAATTGTCATAACACAAACCTACAACGTTGAACTGTTTTATATGAACCAGAGAATTAGGAGAGGATTTATTCACTGCATACATGGTTAGGAAAAGATGTATATTTTCTCACGATGAGCACATTGGATCCACCTCAGTAAGAAGACAGACAGTAAGGACCCAACTCACTCTATGTTTAACACTCTATGTTCTCTTTCTTCTTTTTTTCAGCATGGAATAAACCTATTACTTGTTCCTTTGCAGCCTACGCATGCTGACGCAGCTACCCACCTGAACTATGTTTAACATAGACATTTTTTTAGCATTATTACCATTAATATAGTTTTTATACAAAACCAAGTGAAGATCTGAGGAGCAGCCGTGGATGTAATCATCAGATGGCTAGAAAGGCAAACTCAACGTCACCCTTATTTGGGGTGTAAAAACGAAATAACCAGCATAGATTTAGCTGTTCTTCACTCACAGGTAACTGTAGGGGGAGCAGTAATTGGCCTGTCTGTCTCTTTCAGATGTGCGGACGAGCGATCGCTCCACTGAAGCTCGCACACAGAATTAAGCACCTGAGGGCTGGCTTTGCTGAAGAAGGACGACTGCAGCTCTATGAGTTCCTTGACCTTCTGCCCCTGTAAGTTACTGTACCAAGTGTGTCACCTTTTTTGTCTCTCTGCTCCTGTCTTTTAACCTGGAGTACACGTAACCCCAGGCTTTGGGCTGAATGGGACACAAAAAGAATGTAGTCAAACTAATTGACTTTATGCTTTGTCTGCACACTTGAATCATTGTATACATAATGCATATACAATATTGTATATAATTTAGGTTTCAAAGGAAATGCACGAGTCAGATGAGCAACTGATAATTTTTAGAAGCAAAATATACATCACAGAACATCATAATTTTCAATCTAAATATCAAATCCACATACATAATTCTAACCATTCATGTGTATCAACAAGAAGGTAAGGTTCTAAACAGCAGGAGGCCATTCAAGCCATTGTGCCCATATAGTTTCTTCTCATAAGTGTATAACTAATGTGCTAGCCATTACACTTGTATTATCAAATGTACCTATGTTCATGTGGTTGTTAGTCGATACACTTCGCTACTAGGGTTGATCATTTTGCTGTGTCTTGTCAACTGCCCCAAGGTAATTAATGATTGATAACAGGTGTGTCTTCTGTTACCAGTGATATGTGTACTCATAATGGTCCGTTGTAAAGGAATGTTTTATTTTATTAACAGTATGGTGTAAGAAACAATAGTTTCCTTTTGTTTCGGTTCACAGTAACTATCTCTTTACTCACATGAGGAGAATGAAGAGAGCTGGGGTGCCTCTTTTGACCCTTCATCAAGTCAATCATCTTTTATCACACTGCATGCAAGTTCTACTTGACAGGAGCTAGAGCTTTTACTCACTATAGTGATCATTGATCATCATCACTCAACGCAAGCCTTCAGGCAACCAGGAAACCACAGGACTCAACTTACTGTTTCATTGCAAGCTGAGAACCCACGCTGACTAATCCTAAACTTACCCCTGGTAGTGTTTTGCCAATTGCACCCTCACTTGGAGAATCCCAGGTACAGTCAGATACTGACTGGAACCAGGCTTGAATACGTCAAGTCTAGAGTTATAAGTCAAACTGCCCCCAGTGCACAACTTCATGTTGAAGCACTGCCTGATCTACCTGATCTCTGTGTTAGGGGCTATATCTATCAGCCATACTGTAAATATTTAGATCTTGGCTATAGATTTGTCAGTCCACTATTTAAATGTTTTTTTGTGCAAGGAATGTTTGTATGATCCTTGAATTTTGTGCTTTGGTATTATTGTGCTGGAGGACACATTTGATCAGCAGATAACATGACCACTACAGGGTACAGAACTTAATTGGTCTATCAAGTCTATCTCTGATGTACGTCTACCATGTCCTTTTCCATATTTTAAAATAAATCTGAATGTAGACTGCCAAAAGACAAAACCTAAATACTTAACAGAAGGCACTCTCTAAAATACTTTATTCTGCAGCACAGACATAATTAAAACCCTTCTTGCAGTGTGTTGTGTCCATATTCTCTCTGTGGACTATTGATCCTTTCCATAGAGAAAACAACATTCTGCCATTGTGTGGTAGAAGGTGCCATACAATAATACATGGATATTTATCTATTATGATTGCATATCCCCAATGTTTCAGGGTGGAGCCATTTACTGTATTTGAAGTGATTTTCTAAGGGGGTACAACCACAATCTGCATCCTACGGTTTTAACCTACAACTCTTGTGATTTTACACACACATAAAGTTGTTTCATGGTCAATAATCCACTGTGGGCTTGATGAAATCCTAAAAGCCGTGGCTACCTTCAGCATATTCATGCCTGATTCTTTTTGTGCAAAGCTTTTTGGCAGTCTTGGAAACAGATTTACTTAGCTATTAAACTACTGAGAGATCATGATGTTGATCCTCTTGTTTTCAAGCACTCTTACACTCTTACCTTAAAATCATGCTATGCGATTTACTGTACATAGATTCCTGAAAGTAATCTTCAGATATAAAACCTGCCTCATATTATTGTGTGGTAGGTAAAACAACTTGGCTTAGGTTTTTAGTCAGTATTTTAGTACATGTTTTGGCGTTTACAGAAGTGGTGTTGTAATATGGAAAAGCTTCTTTAAAGAACTCAGATCAGTTAGTTGGTAGCAACCAAATAGGCTAGATAGGACAAATGTTCTCTACTCATTTGTAATCTTTCTAATATTAAAATAACTAGGGCTCATATACTGTGATGAAATTGTGCTTTTTAATTATGCATACATATACAGTACATGCATACTTGAGGAGACAAAGATTAAGAATTTAGTCTATTGTTTAGAATTTTTCAAATTTGAGTAGGTGTACTAAAAAATAAATAAAATACAACCTTGACTCTTTTTTGTATAGCTTGGAGGCATTCTAGCCTAGTGATTGTGTCATATGATCTTGTGCTATTTCTGGATTTTTGGGAGAAGTGCACATTTGTGAAGAGGGTTCTAGAGTCCTAGGTTTACTTGAGTGTGTATTCAGATTGGCATAGTTTGATTTTAGGTTGAGAATACATATGTGTTGTTGTAATAATAATCAGTATTTAAAAACACTGCTTGTTGATGTGATTAAAGAATGCAGAACAGGTTATAAGCTGTGGTCTCTGTTTCATCTGTTTTCTGAATAACTAAGAATGTCTTAGTTGACTTCTCAAACCATCTGAATAAGCCGAAATGAAACTTCTGTTCTGAATTCTATTCTGTTCTTTTGTTCAGTCTCCCTGAGGTCAGAGTGCAATCCTGGACACACTTGCGCAGGAGAGCTCTGATTGGCAGTCTCCCCTGCTGTCAGAATGATTCTGTGTACCAGATGGGTCACTGTAACCAGAGCATTGCCTCTGGTAAATGTTTATGACAATTACACTTCCATTACACTGCATGTACTTCTTTGCATTTTGAAAAGCTTTGTTTGAATTTCATGACAGGTAGAAAATCCCACTTTTTTGCCTGGAGCAATGCAGTAAAAAGCAAAATGTGATATAAATATTTATCTGTGGGACAGAAAATTAATTTCAATGGATACACTGTAGGAATGCTTGTCCTTGTTTCCAAAGCAGCAGAAATTTATACAGCTTTGGGTGGCCACCAGGAAGTAGGACCGAAGAGGTTGTTGCTAAAGTTCGTGAGTAGATAAAGACAGGGAGATTTTCAAACGTGAAACAAATTCCCCCAGCAAGAAAGTTTCTTCTAAAGATATGACAATATTTCAAGCCATTTAAAAAAAATGTATTTATTTATGATAACTAATTCAGTTTTACATATCCACAGGGATCATAATAGTCACCCTGTATAAAGCCAAAGGAAATTCGCTGACAGCCCACAGGAAGGGTAGCAAATGAAGTCCAAGGGTTTGACCAACATAGCATCATGCAGTCAGGCAACAATCACCACACGTTGAGTTCTGTAGTAACTACACACTCATGCCCAGAGCATCACTCCTAGAGCACCCAATTGGATTTTTTTTTCATTTTCTGATTTTGATGTCTACTTAAAGAATATTACTAGACGTGTGCCTCACCTGTGAAAGCACTGTTGTTAGCATTATGACCAAGAGAGACTAGTGTAGTGTTTCATCTCTTAAAGGAATAGTTCTACTTTTAAGCTTTTTCTCTTTTGTGCTGTAATGTGGTTTTGGCATGCACAAGTCAGCAGAGGATGATTGAAGTTTGAAGTATAGGGCACTACCTGTGTTTTATTCCCAGGGCTGGAACAGAAATACTGTAATCCAGGGATGGAGGCTCTGATATAATGTAGCATGTGGCTGCTGCTTCCCTCGGCATATGATGTATTCTTAACAGCTCTGTTAATGAGCTCACTCCTTAGATGACTGCTAGGATAGAGGTGTCTGAGCAGCTTGAGTAAATACTGATGCTCTTTTATTCACACAACAGCTGTGCATCCCACGATACACTGCTAGTTCAGATGCATCTATTTCACGTTGATAAGAACGTAAGACCAGAAAGGTTTCAAACAAGAGGGGGACATTCGGCCCATGTAGCGGGTTTGATTGTTAGCAGCTAATTTATCTCAACCGGCTGCTTCTTTAAAGGAGCTAAAGTATTGACTTCAACAACATATGTCTTTTGATTTTAATTCTACACCTTTAATTATGCATCCCAACATTCAGATCAACATTTTATTTTTCCAATATTGTTTAGGAGACACATGGATGTCAACGTAAACATTTTAAGTTCTTTTAATAACTAACCTTTTGAAGTTCAGCATTTCACATCTTATATATAATTTGTGCTGCTTGTATGTAAATCATCTGTAATTGTCTAAATTAAATGTTATCAGCCAAGTTTTTGCCAAGTGTTGAATTTTGTTAAGGTTTTTGGGATTTCCATGGCTGCCTTTACAATGTGTTCTAATCTCATAATTTTGTAGTTTCTACAAACCAGAGTAGTTTACTAACTATACCAGAATATTAATCATTAATAATAAAGAACAGTGGTCCTATAACACATCCCTGTGGTTCTCTGCTATTACCTGATCCCAGTTTGAGATTTTACCCCTTATATGTATTCTTTGTCTATTTTGTATTAACCAGCTTAATCCAAAGACATGCACTACTTTTTAAATGCCTACTGCCTGCCATTTTAAGCATTAATTACAAGTAAATTTCAAAATAACTATTATCATATTATTTTTATGCGTATCATTCTGCTTCTTGTTCATAGTGCTCTAACAAGTTAGTTAAGGGGGTCAGCCTTTTCTTAATCCATGTTGTGACTATCTCTTTCCCATTTCCTTACACGTGACCCTCTACTTCACTTTGAAATTGTTTCCATAGACTTACATGCAATAAAATGATTTATTGGACTTAAATTGGTTTTTTTAAGCTTGAAATATTTAAGCTTGAATTAATTATAGGGTTCTATTTAGGAATAGGGTTTAGATTATAGTTTGGAGTTAAAGTTTTGGCATAGTTAAGACTTATATTTGAGGCCTGGGTGAAATATAATTCAGATTTTCCTAGTTAAAATGTGGTCCACCATTTCCAGTTTACAGTATTTGCAGTTCACAGACTAACCATATTCAG